TATTTCTAGAAAAAATTATGATGAGTAAAGACCGCTAAATGATTATTTGTGAATAATGACATACGAATTATGAAATACGAAAAGCAATCTTTATTGAAAATGCTAGCTGATTGCTTATACCATTCTCCTGAAATAAGCGAGACCGACAATAATGACCCTGAATGAAAGTCTGTCATCACTGTATACAATCTCTTATGACGATCGGTCAAGGTTTACTATTTTTTTTAAAAAAATCTCATTTATAAATTTTAGTAAATTACTAAACATTTTTTATTATTTTAGTTAAAAAATCTCCTTCGTAGTGTACTCAACTAAAATGCTGTAACCTCAGTCACTTCGGCAAAAGTACAATAAAATCGAATATACAATGACTAGGTGTAGCATTTTGACTAGCTGCATCTTTCAAACGCCCTCGAATGGTTTTGAATCGAACAACTGAACATATTCTTTGACATCAATGTCGAAAAATCAGGTGAAGAAGAATATGTTACAGATAACGAAGAACTTGTTAAAGTCAAAAGGTGGCAAACATCAGTGGCTGGTAGTGAAGAATACTACGATTCTGACTATCTCAAGATAGATGAATAATGTGACAATTATCTCGAGATGGTAGATTCGACGATGATGACGATTTTTTAATATTTTTTTCTTTTGCTTATTTTTATTTTTTTATTTTACAAATGGGAGAACGGGTAGGATATTTAAGTTTTTTTTGCTTTTTTTTTGCTTTTTGTTTTATTTTTTTATAAATAGGAGGGCAAGTGGGACAATTTATTTTTATTTTTAGCTTATTTGCTAGTTTTTTAGTTTTAAATCAGAGAGTAATTGAATAATGATGATGACGATGACGATTTATCGATTATGACAGCGATTTCTTTTTTATTTTTTTTAGTTATTTGCTTATTTTTTAGTATTTTCTATTTGCTTTTGTCGCATAATAAATAAAATTAATAAAATTAATAAAAAAATATTATTTTCCAAAATTTTAAAATAAAATAAATGTAATAAATATAATTTACAAAATAAATTTTCGGTTAAAAATCAGACGGACGATTGATAGATGATTGATGGCTTATTTTAGGCAGATTTTAGATAGACAATTGATAGCAATTGATGACTGATTGATATTTCTGATTGACTCATATTATGTCAATCAGAATTAATATAAATCAGCCCTAAATCAGCCATCAATCATCCATCAATCGTCTGTCTGATTTTTAGCCGATTTGTATCAATTTCGACCAGTGTATAAAAACTTTTAAAAATAAATTTATATTTATCATTATAAATAGTTTCATCTGAGATTAATTACAATTTTTGCATTACCAAAATTACTTTAAGGTTGTTTTAACTTTAACTACAAAGAGGTTATTCTACAAAATAACATTATAAAATTAATTTTAATTATATCATATTAAAACTATGTTTGTATTTCCTTTTTCAGTGATCATCTGTTATACTGAATAATTAGTTATAGTAATAATAAATTTTCTTATAATAAAGGTCTGATTAGTCCAGACGCTAATTTCGTTATATTGAGATATAATTATAGTATATTCTGAACTATTTTCTTGTTTTTTTGTATGTTATTTTTTTGTCATTTAATGTGATAAAAAGAGGTTTAATTTTTTTATAAACAAATAAAATATATTGATATGATATATTATATTATTATCGGTTAAAAATTCAATATTAAAAAGTTGATTTACAAAAAATTATCAAATGATTTACAGAAGTTAATGGAATTAATTTTAGATAGATCATAAAATTAGATGATTAGCATAATTCCTGATTTTTCTAATCTATAGAATTCTTGGGATTCTTAGAATTTACTGGATTTATAGAATTATCATTGTTTATTAGATTTTCCTAATTTCCTGTAATTCCATTATTTTAATTATTTTAATTATTTTTATTATTATTTTTATTTTTATTATAATTATTATCTCTGTTATTATTATTATTATTATTATTACATTAGACTTGAAGTTACAAATTTAGTTAGTTTATAGCGTAGCAATTAGTTTGTTATAGCAAATTAATTTTGTATAAATAGAATAACTATTTGCTCATATTGTAAATTAACTCTATTGCAAATTTCAGTTTTATTATAAGTTCAAGTAATAAATAAAGGAATCAACTTTGAAAAATAATTACTTTTCCCTTCTATGTATTCATCATCTAGGATTTGATTGTAAACTACTACACTAACTTACGAATGAATTCATTACTTAAAATAAATAAATCCTTTATGTTTTTCCCTAAGTCCCTAAACCTTTAAGCTCATAAAGTCAAGCGAAGTAATTTCAAGACATTCTGGATACCTGTATGACATAAGATTCCCTAAGGTTATAAAGTCTGACAATAAGGAATTTACTTGTCACAGTAAAGAAACTTAGTGAAACATATGCGATAGTAAGAGAATTATTCCCAGTGACAATATTAATGAATTAATTGATTTTTATTAATATTTACTAGAAATGCAGAGTTTTTTTATTATATATGATTGTATCTTGTCAAATTATAAATAAATTTATATGATATGATGAATTGACTTAATTTTTAAAAACATCCTTAAGATTACATATATTAAGAGAAATTTTTAAAAGCAAAATATCAAATATCATGTTAATGTCGTATGTGTAGGGGTAAAGATTTATAATCTTCTCCAAAAATTTTTGAAGATTACCTCCACACTAATGTCACATTTAATTTTACATGTCACGTCATAATGTCACATCAAATATTATATATCACGTTCAATATCATGTGATAAGTTATATGCATAATAAGGTGATGTCATTACATTTGACGTTAAGGTAGTTACTTTAAAAAATTTTAAAGTCTGCATCATTAATAAATCACGTAAGTTAATGCTTTTAGTCTCAATTACGATTTAAAATGATGACGTACGAAAAAATTAAAACCAAATTAAATGAGGTGGAAGAAGAGTTGAAGAAGATCAAGGAAGGGTGGGAGGGGCAGAGGTTAAAGGTTTTGTTTGGAGGAAGGAAGGAAAATAGTAAAGGGGAGTTTGATTACTAGAAGAAAGAAAAAAAAGAAGTTGGAAGAGTCGAAGAAAAGGGCAGAAGAGAGGAGAAATAATTGGGACGAATTATATCGAAAAGAACTAAGTAAAAGAGAAGGTAATAAATAATGAATTTGATAAAGAAAAAAAGATAATGAACAAATTTCATAAGAATTTACAAAAATTATTTTCACTCATTCCATTTGTTTATTTATATGTTCAGGAGAGGTTTTGGATATTATCTTCTTTTTAATTAACTAACAATGGTTATATAATATTAGCGTCAATCGAACTTAATGAACTTAATGAAGGTTTGAAATGAACTGAAGAAAGTCTAGTATGATAAATTCATTCGCCTTTGAGAAGGAGTTTACCTGCTTGATGAAGTAATGCTTGGATTTACCATTTATATGCGTCAATGTTATGCTGACTTTGCTGAAATGATTTTCAAGAATAAAAATGGTAGTGGCTGGTGTATCATGGGTAATCCGGGAGTCGGAAAATGTTTTTTGCTTACTATTTACTTTACTTGCTTGCACGGCAAAAACAAACTGTGATTTTGCAACAATGAAGAGAAACGAATTCTACCTTATTTTCTGATGAAAATGTGTCACTAATTTCAGATGGTGAGTTTGCAATCCTCATTTGAGACCCGAACATTTGGTGTATTGTTGACGGAATGGAACCAATTCACCATGAGATTAGTAAAACAATTTTGGTGTGTGTTCTACGTAAGAAACTTATAAAGAGTTTACTAAATATGCTTCTACAGACAAATGCTACATGCTAACCTGGACATTAGAAGAAATTCAAATAAGCCGACAAGTATGCTTTACTCATCTTGAAGAGGAAAAGGTGAAAGAACTTTATCATATTTGGGGTGGTATCCCATGTTACGTTTTAGAATCGGCACAAAATGAACAAAAGCAGAGTGAATTGAACAAGGCAATACTAACTTGTGACCCAAATATTTTCAGATATGTAGGCGAGGTTTATTCAATAGAAGATAATTTAGTGTATATATACACAAATGTTCCCGCATTGCTAGAAGAAATTGAGCAAGAAAAGTATACAGAAGATGATAAAAGCAAAGAAGTCAAAAGAGAGATGTGATTAGAGATTAAGCCTGCATCATATACGATTACATCTATGAGATTCACTTCTGATTACATTATGCAAAAAATACTTCAACATTCAAAAAATTATTTACATGAAGATTTACATCATTTTCTCATTGCGAGTGAAGATGAAGGCAGCTTTAGCACTTTTTGTGGTTATATATTTGAAAATATTACTCATGCAAGTATTGCGAATGGGGTACTTTTCAAATATTTCCTTTGAACGAAAATACTGAAGATGAACAGTTCTTTAATTGTGACTCTATTCTGACTTTGATATTCTCAGATATTAATCAAATTCAAGCTGGGAAATATTATCGCCCCTAACAAAAGCAATTTGAATCGATTGATTCATTAATTCTCCCTGATATCCTATTTCTGATTACTGTTGGGAAAGACATGAAATCAGGCTGGGCAGGTTAGAGAAAATCGTTGATATTTTAGGCGGAAAAAAGTCAAACAGTCTAATTCGTCTTTATTTTATTCTTCTTTCGGACTGTTATACTCGATTTAAGAGCCAACCATATCTTAGAGCAGATAGCTGTACAACTAAATGAGTGCAGCCTTAGATAAATAATCGAGTAAGGTAATACGTACTCAAGATTGATTTGAATCTTGAGAAGTTTCTATCCAATGCTGAATAGGTTTCTAATTCTTGACAATCGCTAAAAATGTATATGTAAAATAAAATTAAATGACTGTGAACCGTTGTTTTCTATATTCATTTATTTTATTTTGTGGGCAAATAAAATATTTATTACATAAGATATAAAGACGTTAAAGATAGAAAGTGAAATATTATAGTAGATTGTGTAGAATTTATGGTTTGAAGTTTTTCTTAAGAAATTGTATCATATACTGAATGCTTAATTAACTTAAAAGTGCAGTCAGTTTTTTTTATTCAATACTAAAATTTGTCTTGAAGCCCAATATTTTACATCAAATAACTATTATTGATGCATGTTTAAATTCACATTCACTAAAACTTAAGAGGAAACGTTTTAAGAATACTTAATAATATTAACCATACCCAGGATTTAACCAATTTCTCTTTGCAGTTACATGATTTCCCAGATGAAATTCTTAGAGGGTATAATCCAATCACATGGTACAAACTCTTTTTATGGTAAAACTAATGATAGTTTTATATTCTCATGGATGATATTGATAATCATATTTTAATGCTACTTATAATTGTCATGTTTGTGGTCCAGCATTTGGTTATTCAGATCTTACCATAAGTTTCCGATATAGTAATAAATGTATAATGACTGATTATGAAAAATCGATCAGGGAAAGTAAACAATTTTATTGTAGAGTATTGTGAAATATTTTTGATCACAAAAAATTGATACAGATTATTACTAATTAAAATATATATTATAAAAGCAAATATTGAGTCTGATAAGATGTGCTGATTAGATGGATTATAAGTTTTACTACTTTTTTTCTCACTTATCATACATTTGTTCCGGTATTTTTCCTATAAGACAATAAACATTTATAAGCGATGATATATCAATCTCAAAGTCTTCTGTAAAATTTGAAATTTAATCCATTTAAGTATTTCCTATTGGTGATATAAATCTTTACTTTTCAGCACGAAATTTAATTCAATACACAAAATACAGCATTTTTTTTTAAAAAAATTTACATCTGCAAAGAAAATCAATACTTGGTATCATTTGAATAAAAAAAAATTAGTGTACATTAGTCATTTTCTGTTCAGTGAGTAAATTAGTAACAGTTTCTTGATTCGCTAAGTATTTATTATTATAAAATAGAATGAAACAAACTAAAGTCTAATGTTTAAATTCATTGGAGTATTGTTCGAAACTTTTCTCACCGCGCGAAACATTTTTTAATTAACTTAAAGAGCAATAAGTTTATAAAAAAATTATTATTTAATTTTTTACCTGTGCTTAACAAAATTTTGATCTGCTTCAAAACTGTATACTATAAAGAAAAGAGTTTTAAAATTACTTAAGAAATGTTATATGGATTGCTCTTTAATAGAATGATTGGTTATGATAAAATAATATTTAAAATTTCAAGTTGGCCAAATTATTGTGATTTAATGTTATTTCGGTCTTAATGTATAGTCGCGTCACAAAGTGACACCTGATTTGAAATTACAACCAAATGTCACATTATTTATTGATTTATTTCAATTTTTTTCGTTACATACATAAAAAAAAAA